CAAAAATCTTTGTGGGAATGGACCACTTCTGTATCTGGATTATAGTGGTGGTTACATAAAACTACACATTTGCATAGACCTGTACACAAAAATACACACACATACATAAATGAGTACATATAAAACTGGTGAAATCTGAATCTGAAATAAGTTCTATGGATATTACCAATATCAATTTGTTTTGAATTTGAGCTATGATTATGTAAAATGTATCTATGAGGGAAAACTAGGTGAAAGGTTTTTGCAACTTCCTGGGTATCTACAATTATTGCAAAAAAAAAAAAAGTTTTCTAAAAAGTAAATAAATGGAAATATTTTCTTAAAAGGCATCCTGATTCCAATGGTAGCTAGGATAGAAGCCCTAGCAGTTGACAATGCTGACAATGCAACATTGCAACTTCCATTCCTCTAGAAGAGGAAAGGGTAGAGTCTTCACTGGAAAACCCAGCAGCCTAATATGTACAGGCCATGCAGACTGTAAACCTATTATAAAGCCCTTTTGGAGATTGGATAAGGTGCCCAACACTTTGACACATTCCTTTTTTGATTAAACTAGACAATCTGGGCTCTGTTGTTTGCAGCTTTGAAAGCTGGCTGATTTTCATTCTGACAATCTCGATGGGATATCTTCCATTTCTGAGGGATTTTGAAGAGCGATAAACAACTCTAAAACATATCTCTGCACACTGAAGCCACTAAAAAAATTAATATCAGGCTAGACAGTAATAAGTAGATATGCGATATTTCTCAAGAATTTCTTGTTATGAGCCTGATTATAGCTGCCTTTGTCACCTCTAGGAGCCGAGAGAACTGAAGCCTGTGCTAGCTTGCAATTATTGAAGGTTTTCATCTTCTGACGTTTTGTTATCCTAAAATTCCTAAAAAAACAAAACAACAACAACAACAACACCAAAAAAAAAAAAAACAACACCAACTCTGGTGTGGATTGCTGTGTCCAGCTCATAGATTTTTCTTCTATACCTCACTAATGGTACAGAGTACTGCTCTCCCTCATACCTTCTAGAAGTGGGCTATACGGGTTCTTTGATGGTAAGAAGACTGCATGGAAAACCCTCTGCTGTTATATACAGCTTCAGTAAGGGCTCTTAAAAGGGGTGTGTTGAAAAGGCCTTTACAATTACCTTATATTATTAGATCAGGGATAGATAAGAGGACAAGCAAATAACCAGAGAAGAAAGCACAAGAATAAAAAGTGAAACATCTAATTCAGAGAAAAAGAAAAAGAAAAAAAGAAGACATAGAAATTATCTTAACCTACGTGAAGGGAGAATGAGGAAGAGGACCAGGCAGGATCTTTAAGGACCCCATAGTCAATATTTCCCCTACTACTCTCTCTCTTTTTAAAATATATATTTTATTGATATTTTACAGAGAGGAAGGGATAGGGATAGAGAGTTAGAAACATCGATGAGAGAGAAACATCGATCAGCTGCCCCCTACACACCCTCCACTGGGGATGTGTCCACAACCAAGGTACATGCCCCTGACAGGAATCAAACTTTCAGTCCTCAGGTCAACGGTCTATCCACTGAGCCAAACCAGTTTTGGCATCCCCTACTACTCTTATTACTGCTTTGTACTAAATGTATATGGAGGTTGGGATCCTTGTTGGTATTGGGACTTGTACCCAATTCACTCATGTTATAACATGAATAAATTAATTTACAAGGTTTACAAAAGCAGAACCACACAAACAACTTGATATGAATGGATTTTTTTTGTTGGCTCCCAAACAGAAACGGCCAGTTTTATTATACATCTATCTTGATACTAGTTTTACATCTGTGAGTAAAATGTAACTGAATAAGCACTTTCTAAAATTTTACACAATTGCACAATGAGCCTTCCCAAAATGAATATTATAGAGAGGATTATCAGAGGTATGCATGCTATGACTTGTGTAACAATTATTTCGTCTTTGATATTGTTCCTTCTGTATCTTCTAAAATTCCAACATTACATTTTAGATTTTTGATGAAAAAAACCAAAGCAAAGCAAAACGAAACGAAAACAGGGAAGCTGAGAAAGCTCTGGGTGTGCCAAGGGCCACCATTATTAATAATAATAATAATAATAATTATTATTATTATTATTATTATTATCATTGTCTACTTTTCTTTGGTGCTTTCCAGTTTAGAAGGTACTTTGATATCCTTTGTTTCCCATTAGTATGTTGGTTTGCCATAACAACAATGAGAAAGAAGTAGGGACTCAAATTATTACCAAAAATTTAAGATGAAAAAGATGATACCCAAAGGGGTTAATTAACTTGCTCAAGGTCACAGAGCAAGTAACAAGATCCCATCTCTCACCTCAGGAAACAGATTATTAAACCTTCTGCCCTCCCTAATGCTAACAGGTTAAATGAGAGAAAAGAGAGCCCTGGGGAATTTCCTCTAATCACCCTACATTAGCTGAGTGTCACAGATTGCATTCCAGTTCCTCTCAAATCCCACTGCACTTGCCATCTGTAAATTTCATCCTCCTGTTTTGACTTGTCTTCCTTTTAAGAGTTTCATAAATGAATGGGAGAATGGTGTGTGTGTGTGTGTGTGTGTGTGTGTGTGTGTGTGTGTGTGAGTGTGTGTGTGAGTGTGTGTGTGTGTGTGAGTGTGTGTGTGTGTGTGTGTGTGAGAGAGAGAGAGAGAGAGAGAGAGAGAGAGAGAGAGAGAGAGAGAGAGAGAGAACTCCCTAATTATATAGCTCAGGTATTAGAAACAGAAACCTAGACTTCTGTCTCACAAAATTTAACACAGTACAATGCTTACAAATAACCTATTGTATTTGAATGTATTAGATTAGGTAATAGTCAGCATGGGAAATACACATGTGGCCCTAAGAATATAAGTCAAAGAAAAAAAAGAATTTTGCCGAGACCGGTTTGGCTCAATGGATAGAGCGTCGGCTTGGGGACTGAAGGGTCCCGGGTTCAATTCCTGTCAGGGGCATGTACCTTGGTTGCGGGCATATCCCCAGTAGGGGGTGTGCAAGAGGCGGCTGATCGATGACTCTCTCTCATCAATGTTTCTAACTCTTTATCTCTCTCCCTTCCTCTCTGTACAAAATCAATAAAATATATATTTTAAAAAAAAAAGAATCTTAGTGGAGGTAGACCATGTATTTTTATACCTACTAAGTCCAACATCATCATTTTAATTGTTCTTTTGCCAAGACATTTATTTCCTTTGACCTTCTTTGTTGCACATTGTGAACTCAATCACATCCCCAGCTCAACCTGGGAATGTGATTGAGTTCAGTCAACTTGGCCTTCTTCACTCCTTACCTTGGTAAGACAAGAGACAAGATTACAAACAACAGAAAGATGAACAGAAGGGTGTTTTAGTAAGAGGGTGTTAGGAAGAACCTGTTCATCAGATTTGAGTTTTAGTTGGGTATTAATAGTTAAGTAGCATTGGTTTGACTGGAATAACTTTGTCATTAAAGACATAGGCACTGAATCAAAAGCTAATTGAATAAAAAATGGTGGTGACTTAATCTGAAATTCTACACCCATTTAGTGCCTAAATAATTGGTACCAAGTGTCTTTTATGCAAGGATGACAACTATCCTGGGTCCCAGTACAATCATTTCTATTTTTGAAGGCAGTTTTAAACTTCCTCCATGTGTTCTTATACCCAATGACATAAAGAAGATTTCAATGTAATGCCAACACAAAAATATTAGTTGGTGACCATGATCTAACCTATACTTCAACAATTAAGAGGCACCATTAAAAATGTTTTTAAAAATTTAGAACATTTTTTATTCACACTTTTCATGGAAGTAATTTTCTAAACTTCTAATTTCATTGGAGAAAACAGTAGTAGTCTTTTCACAAGGATGACCATGAAGGACATCTGTTCTTTAATAATTATAGACCCAGCATATTCCTAAATCTCAGTGTTCTATTTCTTCATTTGCTGTGTAAAAGGAGGCGAGAAACCCTTCATTTTCTTCTGATTCTTTTGAGACTTATCAAATTGGTAAACTACTCCATGCTGATCTATCAATGGGAGCTAATGGCTAGCAGAGTACTAAAATAGCCTTTAGAGATTCACTAAATTCACTAGTAAATTCAATGGTGGAAATTATTTTAGGCACCCAGTAGGTCAAGAGTGAGAAATTTTGGAATAAACTGGATCTAAAGCAAGCAAAGCCTGGAGTTATTAAGTTAATATTAATGAAGTAAAGGATGATTCCATACAGAGATCAGTCCCTCAGATCTTACTTTGCAGGAAGCTGCCATCTTTACTTTTAAACAAAGCTCCTTACGTGTAGCTGAATGGGTGTAAGACTTACACTAAATTTCATGAGGCATATCTATTGGGCATGTTACATATGCAGGCCCCCTGATAGCTACTGCACAGAATTGTAAAAACTCAATTTACAATCCATCATGGGGAATAAGCTAGACCAGCAATTTTCAACATTTTTCATCTCATGGCACCCATAAACAAATTACTAAAATTCTGTGGCACACCCACACAAAATATTTCTTGCCAATCTGACAAAAAATTAAAATAGGTATAAATTTGATTCATTCATACCGGACAAACTACTGTTGTGTTGGCTGTTGTTATTTTTTACTCGACAGTCTAAGAAGGGGAAGTAGGTCAGTGCCCCTGACTAAACAGTCAGATATTGCATGTTTTAAAAATTCTTGCTGAAACCGGTTTGGCTCAGTGGATAGAGCATCGGCCTGCGGACTGAAAGGTCCCAGGTTCCATTCCCGACAAGGGCATGTACCTTGGTTGCGGGCACATCCCCAATAGGGGGGTGTGCAGGAGGCAGCTGATCAATGTTTCCCTCTCATCAATGTTTCTAACTCTCTATCCCTCTCCCTTCCTCTCTGTAAAAAATCAATAAAATATATTTTTTTAAAAATTCTTGCAGCACGAGAGGTGGGAGTTGGTGTTGCGGGCGGGCTGGGTGGGGCCGCGAAGCTGCCATGGAGCTGTGGGCCAGCTGCCATGAACTCCATGAACTCGCTGGTGCAGGCGGAGGATCTCAAGGCATTCGAGAGGAGACTTACTGCATATATTCATTGTTTGCAACCTGCCAGCGGACGCCGGAGAATGCCTCTTGCAGTGGTATCTGTCTGCACAGCTACTGGTGCCTGGGACTGGTTACTAGATCCAGAGACACAAAAGGTGTCCTTCCTCACGACTTTATGGAATCATCCATTTTCCACTGGTTGCATCACTCTGATAGGCTTGTTCTTTGCTAGAATGCACAAGGGAGTAGTTTCTACTCCCATGATAGCCATGCGATGTGGAACTATGTTAGCAGAGTACAACAAGTCTTGTGATGGCACAGGAACATGGATTCCGGAACGGGGGCCTCATGTTCGGTGACCATCTGCAGTCCCGGTAACGGGACCTACGGCAGCTTTTCTTCAGGAAGTGGCACAGCAGAAGCCAGAAGGGTTCCCTGTGCAGTTGGAGGTGGACGATCAGAGCGACAGCCACCAAGACGCGTGTAATGTGCACCCAGACAGCTTGGCCATGGCCACTCGCATGATCAGCGCTGGGGGCTGTTTACCTATCAGTATCAGTGTCACTTTAGTACTTCACATCTTGCAGAGATTGTTGCAGATGAAGTGTGTGTGTATTTTACTAAGTTAAACTTAGAGACCCATCCAGTTTTTATCCTGTATTTCTGCAAACTATAATACTGTAAATAGCAAGTCAAGGCCAGTGTCACAGAGGAAAGCGTTATGGGGAGTTGGTTCCCCTGCACCGGTTCTTCAGGAACATCAGCCTGCCCTCTCCACGGCTCTTTAAAACCTCCTGTTACCTGCAGCGGAACCTGTCGTTCTCACACTCCTCTCTTTAATCAGAATGCAGGAAACCATCCCGTTGGGCTTGGACTGAGGAAAACTCATCTTCGTTATGGTGTCAGAAATCATAGATGTTTTCAGAAACAATTTTGGTTAAACCAGAGAATGAACTTCAGCCACTATTAGGGAGATATTTCTCTATTCATTGTTTTCATTTAATGCTAAAGTTACTTGATATATATTTTAAATAATTTATTTTTATTTATTTTTTAATATTTTATTGACTTTTTTACAGAGAGGAAGAGAGAAAGACAGAGTCAGAAACATCGATGAGAGAGAAATATCGATCAGCTGCCTGCTGCAACTCCCCCACTGGGGATGTGCCTGCAACCAAGTTACATGCCCTTGCCAGGAATTGGACCTGGGACCTTTCAGTCTGCAGGTCGACACTCTATCCACTGAGCCAAGCCAGTTTTGGCTACTTTATATTTTAAAAATAATTTTAGAAACGCTCCAGAGGATTAAAAAATATCAGTTTAGTTATAAATTGTGTATTGTCTGGGAATCTGAGAGCTATTGTTTTAGATAATTGGATTTTATGCTGTGATCAACGTGCCATTGCACTAGTATTGCACAGTGTGCTTGATCATCCACTCCATCACAAGGAGAACTGGGGGGCAGTGCCACAAATGAGAGTCTACAATTCTCACTGCTTAGAGCACATGTGTCAAACACAAGGCCCGCGGGCCAAATCCGTCCCGCCAGGCCTTGCAATGTGGCCCGCACTGCGCTGTCATCACTGCACTCCGCTGCGTTTCCATCACAACGACAGTTTATGACTGTTCAGTAAACCATTCGGCCCGCGATTTAGGCTGGATTTTAGATTTTGGCCCCTTCTCTGATTGAGTTCGACACCCCTAGCTTAGAGAGTGTTATTCACATACTGTGCATGCATATTAGCCACAGGTACTATACTAACTTAGAATTAAACTATTGGGATTGCTGTAAACATTTTAAAGAATTGGAGGTGCCTTTTATCTGTTTATTAGAAGATTTTGAGATGGTTTAAATAATTTCAAGAGCAATCTTTTAAATCTCATTTGACATAAAGCTAAAAATTCAGTAACAGGACAAAAACTTTTTAATCAGACTACCATTTCATGGAAATATGTTCATCCTGGCTTTCATGTGCATCAGATTTTATTCTTTGATAAAACCCTCTGCTCCTAAGAAATCTTAAGAAGTTATTCTCTGTACGCTGCATTGTTTTATTTTCTATAAATTTTGTAGGTAAATGTGTGTATAAAATAAATACTATATAAATGTAATTCTTGCACACACCAGTGTGCCATGGCATACCGGTTGAAAATTGCTGAGATATAACATAACTATTACTGATGGTAAAATGAAATACAGTACTTTCATAAAAGAGACACAGTGGAATTGTAGAGCTACAAGAGAAAGGTCACAATCAGTTGAAGAGATCATAAAAAATCTTTTAAGTGGAATTATTTGTGAAGGAATTTAGTAATGAATAGGACTTTGTGGAACATCTAAAAGCAATTGCTTATTTCTATGATTGCCAATGGAGGGAAAAATTGTGAAAGACTTTGAAATGGACCAAAATGGATGACTTAAGTAGAAAACTAGGTGAACTATTAATAGATCATTTGCTAGGGCCGCTGGGCCTTTCATTGAGCTATTTTACAGCTCTATAATTTGTAGATGAACTGATAACAATGCAGGTAACTCCTGTTTGCAGATATACAAATCTAACAGTCTATGCCCTCCCCACCACCTATGTTCAGTCCAGACACCTCAGGTAGACTCTCAGTGTCACTGTCCCAGCACCGAGGTTGTCAGCTTCACTTCCACTGATTTTCTCACTAAGGCCTCTGCTTGTAGATCATGATGTCCAAGGAAGTCCTGATTTCTTTTCCAAAGGAGCTCATAATGTCAGTCCTTCCCAGTGCCTGCCCATTCATCTTTCTCTTAGTTGTATCCCTGACACACAGGGATCACCCTATCATCTTGAAAAACATAACAACACACAGTTAAATGACTTCTTTAAATAATATAACTATAGATTGTGAATTCCAGATCATGAAGAAACACATATCTTTTTATGCTCATCCTTATCAGTCAACTTCTCTTTAGTACCTGAAGCATAAAAACCGCTCTGAGGATAAGAACTATAACAAAAGGGATTATTAGTACTTTAGAGTTATCTGAGTTTGAGGTTACCTCATAAGGTGAAATGTCCTTTTGCCTCTTATTATGTCCATAAAACCCATTCCTTTTTTTTTATTATTATTATTTTATTTGAGAGACAAAGAGGGAGGGAGGGAGAGTGAAGGGAGAGAGAGAGAAAGAGAGAGAGAGAGAGAGAGAGAGAGAGAGAGAGAGAGAGAGAGAGAGAGACAAACATCAATTTGTTGTCCTATTTTTTTTAATGCATTCATTTGGTAGATTCTTGTATATGTCCTGACCAGGGATCAAACCAAAACCTTTGCGTATTAGGATGGTTTAATCACTGAACTACCTGACCAGGACAAAACCCATAAAGCTTTAATTTAGAAATCTATATATTCTAGAAATATTTTTGACATAAACATGTTTTTCTTATTACTTAGAGATGGTGTGAGGCCATGCAGCCTACTGCCCAGCATCTAAGCCTATTCTATTTGCATGTCATTGATAAGAATGAAGCAGACAGGTGTGAGAGGGTCCTCTCATGTATGGTTGCTATTCTGTCTTACTATTGGGTATCATTATTAAACTTTAAGAAAAGCACACAATAAATAGTATCTTACAGGTTTTTAGAAAGCTCAAGAACTAAGAGAAACCGGAATTACTGTATTCCCAGGAAAACTCTGAGTGAACCCCACTTGGAAAGGAAAGAAAGAGATGCCAACCCAGATTATGTATTACTTTAATTGAATCTCTGTATATGATTTGCTTACAATTTTTCCATGTTTAAGGTTGCAAAATCGTGCGTTCATTATGACCTTGCATTTTATCATATTCAGGTTATGTAATTATAAAATAATTAAACTGCCTTCATAAAATTACTATATGGGAATTAAATGATTACATTTTAGAAATGGGCTACTTGATCATGTTCAGCTTCAAACCCATAATAAACTTGGCACCACTAGCGAGAATTGGAAACAAGACACCAAGTGAGCACTGCTTGGCATTCTTCCACTAAAATCCCTGCTGTGGAAGATTGGCCCTTTCAAACAGCACCAGATACCAAACTGGCATTTAACTTAAAAATCTGTAATCAGCAAAGATCTCAACAACCACTTACATTTTGCAGCATGGCAATTCTAACTACCAATTATGAAATAGCTGCTAATACCATCAATAAAATGAAAGCATGTGAATCGAGGGGGTGGGGGACACACAGAGAGATCAAGAGATCACTATCCCATTGCTGAAAGGAACATTTTATGAAAGCATACCTTGGAGACAGTGGGTACAGTTCCAGACCACTGCAATAAAGAGAGTATCCCAGGAAAGTGAGATGTAATCCTTTTGCTGGTGCAGGGTCTTGCCTTCAGTTTGTAAACACACACACACACCATCCATGACAGGCAACAAGGCAAAGAACAATAAAGCGAGGTATACCTATAGTGGATTAGCTGAAATGAAGAACAGACATTTTGAGTCTTTTTTAATTGAAATTCCTTAGAGAGATATCTCTCATTCAGTTACTCTCATTCTAATTATCACAGTAAAAGTATAGCATCCTAAAACCCATCATCCTGAAAAGTTATGTTTATTTTCATAGTTATAATTATATTTTAAAAAATATATTTTTTATTGATTTCAGAGAGGAAGGGAGAATAACCTCACAGGGTGATGAATTCCTAACTGGGCAGGTCATGCCCCATGCCTATTGCTTCTTCTTCTTTTCTTTTTTTTTTTAAGATATATTTTTATTAATTTCAGAGAATTTCAGGAGAAGGAGGGAGAGATAGAAACATCAATGATGAGAGAGAATCGCTGATCACGCTTCCTACTGGGGATCAAGCCAGAAACCCCCCGCATGTTCCCTTGACCGGAATCAAACCCAGGACCCTTCAGTCTGCAGGCCGATGCTCTATCCACTGAGCCAAACCAGCTAGGGTACTATTGCTTCTTTAGTGAAGGGTTTTAAGCCGGCTCTGTCCATTGTTCTTGTGCATGTTGGTTAATACACTCTGAAATACCAGAAGTAATATCCATAGAAAGGGGTATTAACCCTCAGAAGAGTGCTTAACCTTATTAACTATTTTGTAATCTAATTTCCATCTTGCTTTCTCCAATCTTCCTTATGTTCCCCTCCTTAATTTCAAATGCATAAAAGAAGCTACAAAACTGTTATTCTCTGGAGCAGTTAAAATCTTGTTCCCCAGTATATGTTGTCAGTTTGGCTCAAATAAATGTTTATAAAGATTCTCTACAGGTTTGGAAGTTACTTATGTCGACAGTTGGAAGCAATTTGAAAACAGCAGCTGGTGATTATGGATCAGGATAGAGACTTAGTCCTGGGAAGTATCTGACAGTCAAAGCAAAGCCAGCAAGTCTTTGGAAGGGCAAGCTGATCCTGGAAAACACAAATAAGTCAGACAGTAGTTTCTGATTCAGCTATTATTTTTCTAATGATTGCTTCCTTTCTATCTGTGTAGGGAGAGGATTATTTATTGACCTTGAACTTTAGTAATGGTGAGTTAACTTCAAAAATTTTGTTATTGTCATCATAATATACATGTTTAATAAATGTAACGAAAGAAACCTATATTTCTTCTTATGTTTAAAATATAAGAGCAATAGATTTAAGTGAGAATATTTGGAAGAGGGGAGCACTATTACTTTTTTGTTGTTGTTAAACTCACTCAAGGATATTTTTCCATTGAATTTTAGAGAGAGTGAATGAGAGGACAGGAGGGACACACCAATTGGATGCCTCTTGAATAAACTCCAACCAGGGTTGGGGATTAAGCCTGCAACCAAGATAGGTACCCTTACCCAGAATAGAACCAGAGACCTTTCAGTCCATGGGCCAGTGCTCTAGGCATGATCATTGCACTATTCTTAGATTATTAGCATTTCTCTATTCTCAGCAGTGTTTTGTTTTAGTGAGATGGACAGAAGTGGAGTGGCAAGGAAAAGTCTACATGGTAAAATACCAAGGTAATAATTCCTCTGGATTTTTAGTTTTCATTCGCTCTCTGAAAAGCAGATGCTTGAAACTCTCATTGAAACTCTCAAACCCCAGGACTGGATTATCCCAACAGGAGGTAGACAAACTAACACCACCAACAACAAGCTGGAAATACTGAAATTAAACCTGGAGATTGCAAACCAGTCCCTAATAGTAGCAAATGTCCCTTTAACCCGCCCTGTTTTTTAAATTTCTTCTTTTTTTAAATTTTACTTTATCCCACCCAATTTAAAAGATCCCTAAATGAAACAGAACTTTTAAATACATCTGCCACTAGATGGCACTATATAAATACTTTTACTTGCACTTTTCTTTCCAAAGACTAGTCAGGAAGGAGGCAAAATATTAGGTAAGGTCATCAATCCATTTTAATCTTTTTAAAATTGCTATAGTTTATTAATTTAACTACATCTTTAAATTATAATCCTAGATACCTTGCAATGGCTTGCCAAAACCTTAATTTTCTATCAGCAAGTACAGTTCTGAGAGATTGGCTCAA